CTAGTAGTTCCCCATGATTCGTGAAATGTCTTGTTGTACTGGTTACATTCAGAACCTTTTGTCAATTCAGGAGCAGTTTTCCTTCTGCACCGAGGCCCCATAAAATTTCACTTTCAGAGGTAACCAGAAGAGGAGAGTACTCTTTTCATTACTTTGCAGCTGTTGCTTACATTTATATAGCAGCCTTTGTACTGAAGGTGGATCCACGGATTTGCACCCTGTGTCCAGGGGCTACTTCAGCCACAGCATCCAGCCCTGAGATGGAACACCTCAAACATTCCCTGCTGGCATTTTTATGCAAAAGGATTTGAAGAAGGTAAAGAAAAAAATAACATATCTAATTTAAATCAGAGTGGGAACGCATGGAAGCAGAAAGTAGTTACTGTTGCTGGGATTTAACCAGAACATTAGAGTTAACCACCCTACTCTTGCCAAAGGCACCATGGATTCTTCAGTTATCGCAAGTGGTCAGAACCCCTGCTTCACTCCACACTGAAATAAAACCCAACTTATATCTTGCAGTGCACTGCCCCCTAGCACTATGTTGAGACAGTAACTCGGGACTGACTCGGAGGAAAGAACACGGCATACTGACTGAGTCACCAACACTTACATATGTTATCCTTGGAATTTGCACATCAAGTGTTGACCTAGCCCAGTCATGCTTAGCTTGTGGGATCCTACCACAAAGTGGTGCGGCTGCATATTAAAGTAAAAAGGCCCTTAATTGTATTCAACAATGTGTTGAATTTGAAGCACTGAGGTAATCCAGACTTCTTTATTTGGTGACATTACCCAAATATTAAGTCTAATTTTCTCACAGGAGGATCAAGATACATTTTTTTAATGGCCACAAGAGGCTTGGTGAATGCTTGTTTTTCCTTCTTTAGTTTTCTCTCTAAAAGACATTGTGGCCCAAAGTCTAGGGCATTAGCTGGGGAGACAGATCTAGGTTCTAATCCAAGCTCTGTGGCTGACCTGATGCATAACCTTCAGCAAAACACTTGGCCTCTGTGTGCTAGAGTTCCCCATATTAATAACAAGCTCCTATACAGCTCCTCTGATTGCTGTCATCATCCCAATATTACAAGTGGGGAAACAGAGGCACAGAGGCAGCAATTTGCAACTTGCCCAAAGTCTCTAGCAGGCCTGTGGCTCAGCTGGGACTAGAACCCAGGGCCCCTAAGCACTTTGAGCTCTGTACCTGAAAAGCACCCTATGCAAGCAGTGCATTATTGTTATTATTCCTTATCATTCAGTACAGGCAGAAATATACAAAAACCACTACAGCACAATCGAAAACCTACTTCATTGACAAAGAATACATTGGTGGCAAACATCATCAAAATCCTTGTGACCTAGTTGTACCCTGAGGCCAGGCCCACAGTAAAGGGGAAAGTCGACTTAAGATACACAACTCCAGCTACATTAATTATATAGCTGGAGTCAACGTATCCTAAATCATGTTTTCATGCCATCCACTCAGTGGGAGGCCGACAGGAGCAAACGCTCTCATTGGCTCCCTTATTCCTCATGAGGAGCAGGACTAAGGGGCACCCTCTCAGTTTGAATTAGACCTGCTAAATCAAATGCTAGAAGATTGACTTCCAGAGGGTCGATCTTCTCCATAGCGTAGAAGACCAAACACAGCTATCACTAGTTCAACAACTGCTAATATGCGAGACTAGGAGGTTCAGATTGAAGGAAGGTAGCACAGAGAGACGGGGCCTTAGTTTGGATGACTATCAGAACACTCACTCACAGTTAGGAGAGGACGGCCAGCAAGAGCAACTGAAAGCAACCTGTGTCCTTTTTCATTGTAAAAAGTAATTGCAGATTACTTTTCTAGGTTACATTAGATTTAGAAATAATGGGCGTGCTATTCTGGTGTCCCTGTAACCCTTGTTCCACGAGGGCTAAGGGATGTTTTGCAATAGCGCTTTATATTGAAATAAGATATGCTATTTGCATAGCTCAAATTGTGGATCTTATTTCGACCTACGGGTACAGCGTAGATGCACCCTAAGTGAGGTAGGAAAGCATTTCCATTTTAGGGATGAGAAAACTGAGGGTATATCTACACTGCACCCGGAGGTTGAAATAAGATATGCAATTTGAGCAAATTGCATATCTTATTTCGATCTAATTTTGAAATAAAGCGTTATTCTGACAACTCCCTTAACCTTTGTGGAACAAGGGTTACAGGGACGCCAGAATAGCATACCCATTATTTCGAAATATATAAAAATAACAGGCAGGCTCAAAAGATGCAGAATAGCTATTTTGGGATACATCTGGAATTTTGAAATAGTGCCACTGTCTAGACATAGCCTGAGTGACCTGGTCAAAGCCACAGAGTCAAAGAGATCAAAATATTTAAGTTTGTTGGCTAACCTCTGTCATCTTCAGAATATCCTCAACCCTCTCAAATAGCATTGTGATGCTGATTGGTCAGTTATATCGTGATGCTGGTGATGTCAATTTCAGACCATACTTTTAAACAGTGAAAAAAGTGAAAGGCAGGATTCTGATTTTATTTCCATGGATTTACGCTAGTATAGGTCTGATTATTTCAGTGGAGCTGCTCCTAATTTACACCATTAAAACCGATATCAGAGTCTAGTCCCAGTTATTTAGCTTTTGATGTATGCACCAAACTACAGATTCCAAATACCCAATTCATATATTTGCCTGGCATTTCTCAGATTGAAAGATGGGTCATAAAACTATGTACAATTAGACATTAAAGTGATCTGCTTCAGAGATGTCTTTCACTCTCATGCACTTATATATGTACATTGTGTGATCTCTGCACAGTCTTTATTATATCGACGAGGAGTCCTGTGGCACCTTATAGACTAACTGAAGTGTAGGAGCATAAGCTTTCGTGGGCAAAGACCCAGATCCTGGCCTGCATATTTATTCCTGCTTCTGGAAATTTCCACTACATGCATCTGACGAAGTGGGTCTTTGCCCACGAAAGCTTATGCTCCTACACTTCAGTTAGTCTATAAGGTGCCACAGGACTCCTCGTCGCTTTTGCAGATTCAGACTAACACGGCTACCCCTCTGATCTTTATTATATTTAACCATATAGCACCCCTTTGAGGTAGAGAATTGTTATCATCCTCATTTTACATATGAGGCCTGAGGAACAGAGAGACCATGGGTTTATCTACCCCAACCCCTCCAAAAACTCCTGCTGCTCTGAATCTCAGAACCTGAGTCTACAGATTCAGGCTTGTGGGACTCACACTACAGTGATAAATATAGCCATATATATATTCTTGCCGAGACTAGAGCTCAGGCTCTGAAACCCAGTGAAGGGGATGAGTCTCAGAGCCAGAGTGGAATGCCTATACAGCTATTTGTAGCTCTGTAGCACAAGCCTAATTGTGTAGACCCAGACTCTGAGACTTGCTGCTGTGGCTTTTTTTCTTTATGAAATTTAGATGTACCCCCAATGGTCATTCAGGTCATTGGTGGCAGAGCTTTAACCCAAGTCTTCTAGGTCCCAAACTAGCATCTCTACCACTAGATAATCCTTCCTCCCTCAAATGGCCATCCATATTTAATATTAATACTGTACCCCAAACAAATCTATCCTTCCAAAGGACTGGAGTTCTACAGGCTGTACAACTAAAGACAAGGTACATACAGGCAATCTTTCACACAGATGCAACTTTGTAAATGTGAAGATTTAACCTACTGTTTAAAAACTTAGGACAGCTGGTCTCTCTGGCCTTTAATACTGGCATAATGTACAACTAGAAATGCTTAAATCTTATAAACCCAATGGAAAGTACTTTGATATTAAGTACAGTGGTTTGATACTGTGATTAATCATCCCTCCCTCAGCCCCTTTGCAGGATAATAAGACTGTCTGTATTATGCATCTGGCAACCTCCTTTTCTCAAAGCCCAGCTCTACTGTAACTGTTACATGTCTGCATCTGGGAGAAATTTACAGTTCCAAACAGGGGCTACACAAAAACCAAGTAAACAGGACTCCTGTATACATTGCATTATAACAGCTCTGCTATACAGCAAGATTAAGAGTTGGAAATACCTGTGTAGCTATGACAGGTCCCCCCCCCCAGTCAGTTTTAACAGTTTGCTTTATCATCACCCTTGGCTGATTAGAAGTCTTGTGTCAAAGGGTTTGGATAGGATTAAAAACTCACAAGCATCAAATCCTGATTTTACAGCCCAAATAGCACTGTCCTGCCTCCTTTTCTTCCACACGTTTTCTACACTAGTATAGCTCTGATGATTTCAGTGCAGAGCACACTGAAGAAGGAAAAGAAACAGTATGTGCTTCCTGTTGCGATATTTTCCTTTTTTAAATTATATATATAAAATTGGCTAGGACTTCAAGTTTAAAATTAGCTCCTACTCAGATGAGATAAAGTAATTAAAGATGAAGAAATCTATCTGAACTCTGGATTGACTTCCCCATACTGGATTCCACCAGGGAAAATGTGAGTGTGGGACACATTGTCAGCGGCTGTAGATGATCATAGCCCCAAACACTGAAACAATGAAGCTATGGCAGCTTACACCAACTGGGGATCTGCACTGCGTGGTGCTCTTACTTGCACCCCCCGTGATCCAACTTAGAATCAACCTGTTCGCACCACCACCATGTGTCTCCAGCATCATGCGGTGGCATCCGAGGGTGGGAGAGGAGAGCGTGGCTTGAAACAAGGAACTTCTGGCTGGGTTTTGAAACCGGTCGCAACCCTATTCCCATCGTTACTTTTTCTGCCCCTCTCGCTGCTCCAGCGCTGCACATGCAGCAGGCAGCTTTGCTTGGCGAGCCCTCTCCCAGCCCCACGCCACACATTATTCCCTATAAGGAACTGAATCCCGCGCTCCAACCCCGTCCCCCGGCTCGTTCGGAGCCTCTCCCCCCCTTTGCCAGGGAGATGAGGTAATGCGGGGCTCCGATTGGTCCGGGGGGGCGCACCCCACGAGCCCGAGAGGGCGCTTTCCCAATCCCCGGCTATAACTGCAGCCGCCAGGAGAGGCAGAGCAGCAAAAGCGCGCAGCGCTTCGAACTTGGTGCGTCAGGATCCCGAGCAAAGCCACCGCAGCTGTCAGCAAGTGTCTTGAGAGGGACGTAGTGGCGCCAGGAGCAGAGGCTCCCAAGACCGCTTAAGCAAGCCGCCTGTAAAGCGAGCCCACCAGCCAGCCGCCCCCTCCCCTGCATAAGCGGAGAGCAGCTTCGGGCCAGCCGCTGCCTCAGCATCATGTCGGCGTGGCTCAGCTTCCTCCTCGTGCTCCTCTGCAGCTGGAGCCTGAACGACTTGGTGGCGGAGGCTTGTACCTGCCTCCCTATCCACCCCCAGGATGCTTTCTGCAACTCTGACATCGGTGAGTGTCCCCTGCCGTCCCTAGCCCGCGCCTGGCGCCGCTGCGCACCTCCTCCGCCGTCCAGCCACTGGGGCCAGAGATGCACCCTCGCGTTGGGGACGGGGAGCATAGGGAGCGCCAAGGTTTGGCGAGCTGAAAGCGTTTCCCCCGGCAGCGGTGTCAGAGCGTTGCGAGAGAAAAGTCGAAATATTCTCGCTCACGCCAGTGCGCGCAGAGGAAGGTGCCACTTTACTGAGATTCTGTTCCCTGGCCTCTAGAAAGTTCTCTGTGTGGGGCTGGGAAGGGGGAGGGAATCTTTTGCTAAAACTTGGAAAGGTAACCAGCATATGAACTTTGGAAAACCACCAGTTTAGGCTTGCTCAGATCCAGTTATCAGAAGTTGGAGGGCTGGAGAACTACAGCCAAATCACAGCCTCCCCTCTTTCTCCCCCACTTAAAAAAAGGTTTTAGCACTACAGTTTTAAGCAAACAAGTTTAAATTAGGGACAGGATTGAAACAGTGAAAGATGACCGGACTCCATGCAGCTTTTTGGAGTTGCCTTAGGTATCTCTGTTTTTTTAAGTGTAGTGAATTTTTTTTCTTAAGGAACAATGGAGAATGGACGTTGTTTTTAAAATTAAACTCTCTGCAGTTTTTCCAACGCTACCACCTCTCCAAGAAAAACAAGCAGGCTTTCTAAAAATTAGTAATTATAAAAGCGACTTGTCTCCTGCAGACAGACAAAAACAAAACTGAAGGTGTGGGCAGCCAAAATTGCCTTTGCTACTTGGTGCCAAGCAAATAATAATACTTAACAAAAGTCAGGATGAATTCTTCCAAGCCAGGGAACTGCCCTTGGCAATTTGGAATGATGTAATTCACACCAATTAGTGGCAAGGGAACACATGGCTCTGTATAGTAATAACTTTTGCGAAAGGTCAGGGAGGTGTATAACAAGTTTCCCAATAATTTTGCACACTGCGTTCTGATCCTTGCAGTTTTGCTTTTGTATGTATGGGTTTTTTTTAACATAAAATAACAAGTTGAAATACCGTGAAACTGAAGACAGGAAAACTACAATTTACAGGATTTAAAAAAACCCTTTGAAAGCAAAACCACATTTTCATTGGGGCCTTCCTGTTGCTCCTCGCGTGCTCCAATCTTTGGCATTTGAGGAGTACTTATAAATGAGGGGTGGGATAAATAACTGTGGTTCAAGTGAATGGGATAAAAGAGACTCACTCTAATTCCCTAGTTTGCATATGACCCAGGTCAGTATTAAATGATGAAATATAGTGCTATTTGTTGCTGTTCTATAGTCTACTGTATAATAAATGAGTGAGTGGTCTCTGTCCAGGTCCTGGTATACTGATGTGCACCTAATAACGTTCAACAGCTGTCAGCCTAAATGTCAATTTTTGCAGAGAGGTTAAGGGTTGAATAGACATGGTGACTGAAGTCCTACTCTTGCCCCTAGAGGGCCTAGATTAGAGGTTGTCTCTGACTGAGGGTTGAGAAACACACAAATAGTTTGTGAAAGCTGACATTGCTGATATTAGTACTGTGATGCCTCCCTAGTTAGTGAGGACAACAGACTGGGAAGCAGGCAACTTGGGTAACTTCTATGAAAAATAAATTAAATAGGGTCAAAATGCTTTTCTGTGCAATGCTGACTTAATTTGCTATCATGGAATCTTGTAAGTAGCATTTTAAATTAGTTGAACTTGCTAACAAAACATTTCCCTTTTTGTCTTAATAACCTTCCTCTATACAATCCTGCAGAGATGTCTAGTTATTTGTATCTAGTTTATACAGTGTGTTTGCTCCGGAAATCCAAGAAAAACATTACATGTTCAGAGTCCTAAAAAGTAAAATTTGCTTCAGTCCTGATATCCTGGAAAATGTTTGAGTTTTATAGAAGATCTTTCCAGTATGCCATACTATTGAAAGTTCACTTGAAGATGTTTATTGCCAACACTTTTCTGTATTTTGCACTAGTAGTAAATGTGGGCTGAGACAGATTCCAGGGAGATTTTGGCCTTTTTTGACAACAAGGATATTTGAGAAGCCAATGTACCTGCATCTATTGCTGGAACTTTCAGAAATGCCCTTCATTTACTGAAATGAAGTCTATGGGACTTTAGGCATCTGCTACTCCCTTTTAATGTTTTGACTAAATAATTAAACACACCCTGTTAACTACACTTTTTGATAACTTGCATCTTGTCTAGAAACACAAAGCATTAAAAGTAGTACAAGCAGTGAAGCCCTGTGTAATGTCCCCGCCAATATAGCCCTAATTGCTTGCAAGATTTCTCTCACTGGTCGATTTCTGACCAAGTTCAATGTCAGGGTGCTGGTCTCTTTTTATTCTTGAGTGACCTGCTGTATTCATTATGGCTCATATTTGTAGCCTTGTCTGAGATACCAAGTATGGCTATAACTGGGGTTGCCCTCTTGGGGCTTGCAAGGGGGTCCATAATACAAAGGGGGAGAATGCATAAGGAAAGAGAGTTTCCCATATTACAAGGTTACTATGAATTCTCATCTTAACCAAACTTGTCATTTTTGTGACTGGACTTAAAGCTGAGCTAGGTCTGTGAAGCTCCAAAATCTCCTTAAAGCAGTGTCCCTGCCTGGCTGTCTTTTGCAGCATTGTCATGCTTTTCATGAGCCAAAAGAACAAGAGGCATATTCCAACTTCTGGCCACTGAGGAGTTAACTGTCTCCATAGAAACTGATGGCAGTGTACTAGTGCAGTGTTTAGACAGACTAAACTACATGCCAGGTTATAAAACACATTGTGGGGAAGCAAGGGACTTGGCAGAAAGTTTTTTATCGACTCTTGAAACTCCTGACAAAATACCAGCTCTAAAGGGAGGATTCAGTGCAGTAAGGACTGGGAATCAAGAGAGGGCTGGACTGTTAAAACAGCTCCTGCAAGAAAGTAAGAAATTAACTAGCTAGGTGGCAACCTGGCAAGTGTTTGTTACTTTCCAAAACATGCCAGCACCCTGTGGCTTCTGAAGAGGCAAAAAGCTTCTGCTTTGGAAATGTAATGCAAGTGCTTGTTGTTGGAATTCAGTGAGTAGGGCTTAGGAGACCATCTTTCATTTAGTCTTCTTCCCCTAATGGGTGGCAGGTACCACACTAGAGTTTCATTTTGAATTACCTTAGGCTCATGTCTGTGGCAAGATTCCAACCCTGGACTCTTCTGCAGCCTTTTAAGCAACTTTTCAGAAATAGATGCTTAAACAAATCCAGTGAGAGAGCAGCTTTTTAAACAGACAGATTCTTTCAATACCAAAGCAGAGGTTGTGGTTTCAGGAGGAAGCCTAGACTCTATGCACAGCCATACTGCTAACTGGGAAATCTTTCTGTCACCTGGGGCCTTTTCACACACCATGGACCTGACAGAGAGATAAATGGAGTCACAGTAAGTAATGGGGTGGAGAGAGCGCTTGCGTCTTGTTGCTCAAATTAGGGGAGGGGCAAGGACGAATCTTTGAGGTTGAGCTACAGCCAAACTGGTGCTTTAACTCGTGGTTTTCTTTCTTTTTAACTGAATTGTGACTTCCAGTATGAAAGCCAGGTTGGATAGAATTGGCCAAGTGGCAAACTGTATGTAACTGTTAGGGTATGATAAAGGAATTTTGCTTCCTCTGCCTTCCAAGAATTAGATTTTTTTATTATTGTTGTTTTTGTTGCTGGGCCTTTGGAGGGAACAAAGACCACAAATGCTTTGTCCCCTTTTTGTCAAAGCTGTGACCATTCCAGCTGGATGTGCCTGACATGAAAGGCACTTGTTTGTACTTTTTCTGCAGAAGCAGCAGGAACTTTTCAGATTGGTTGCTGAATGTTAAATTCCTGCCAATTTGGAAAGAATTTAAAAAGGAACTACTTTTTTGTTGTGTTTATGTTTCTATTTTTGGTTATTTAGGGCCCAATAATGCAGGAGTTGAGAGCACTTAATATTTTGCAGAATCTGGCCTGGAATATGTCGCTCCTGCAAATGTTGATGTTCCAAAAATGTGTTGGAAATAATTGTCCCCAAGAAGTGATGCAGAACATTCAATAATGCAATTCTAAAGGGTTTCCTTAGTGTCTAGTTACCACTGCACATTCTTACCACCAGATTTCCTGCAGGAAGTAACCTCACAAAGACCTCTGCGGTAGCAGAGGAGCCAGATGCTTTAGCCCAAAGTCCTAGTATTCCTTGCTTTAAGCTGACATTTCTTTATTTTAGTGTTTCCCACCTGCTCTTAAGAACCCTCCACCTGGTAGTTGTTTCTGGGAATAAATAAGACAAGAGTGTAATTATTATAACAATGTGTTGTGCTAGGAGAAAACACTTGCCTTTCACAAACATTGCAAACACTCTTATCTTTTCCATCTGAGGCATTTGGGGGCATGTAACTTTAAGATAAGCAAATTTGGCTATTTCCGTCAATTAGTTTTCTGTAGCCTACAAAAAGGTAATTGCTTATTTATTATTCTTATTAAACTCCTCTAGTGTTCTTGATACTTTGCAAGGCACAAAGACACTCCTTGCCCTGAAGAGTCTCATAGGTAATGCTCCTGGATCCAATAACATGGAGCCATGCAAGAGTGCTGAATCCCACTGACGTCAACGGGATTCCACGTGGGCACAAGAGTATAGTAGCAGATCCTGATGCAGGATCAGAAGAGAGGATGCATGAAGATGCACAACAAAGGGAGTAAGTTGGTGGGGAAGTTGCTAACTAATTTCTTGTCATCATAGAAGGATCTTTAGAGCAAAATTCTTAAATCTTTATTTTTGCACCACATAACATCTTTTGCTATTTATTTCTCCCATGAAATTTGCTTTGGAGGTTTGTGGAGATCACGTACACATAGACGATTGAAATGAAAATTTAAATTTGTGTGTGTCTGTTTGGCTGACTGTACTTTTCCCCTCCTTTTCTACCCCCATGCAGCATGCTGATGTAGATCGACCCAGTATGTTTCTTTCAGGAAAATTACCTTGTTAATCTGTACA